AAGTAGTAAAGGAGATTTACTGGGGATGGGGTTGTCCTGGGTGGCGAGAGGGGAGTCAGCACCAGCCAGTGGAGAGTAACAACCTATGCGAAGTTCACCTTTTTTCTACTCCACGCTGTGGGCCTTGGGCTTCCCAGTCTTACTAGTCTGTCCACACATGGCCATGCCATTTTCTTAAAATTGATTTTAAAGAATTTCACTTTTAAAGCTCAGTCACAGTACAACTCTAGACCCATTAGGACAGCCATAAAAAGGGGGAAACAATGGAAAATAACAAGTGTTGGTGAGGATATGAAGAAACCGGGACCCTTATAATTGTTGGTATAAGTCACTGTGGAAAGGAGTTTGGTGGTTCCTCAGAATCTTAAACATAGACTTAATGTGTGATCCAGCATTTCCACTCCAAGGGATGTTCCCAAAAGAACGGAAAACTGGTACCCAAAGAATTACATGGGCACACATGTATACTGCAGTGCTATTCACAGCAGCCAAAAGTCAAGATAGCCTGAATGGATCCAACAAATTAACGCATAAATAAAATGTGGTGTATTCATACAGTGGAATATTCTTCTGCCATAAAAAGGAATGACAGTCTGATACAGGCTCTGATGTGGCTGAACTTTGAAAACATTATTCTAAGTTATAGTAAAGCCTCTTCATAGGCTTTACCATGCCTGTGCCCATGAACTCCTTTACCCAGATATATTGTGTGACTCCATACACATGAAACATCTAGAATAAGTAAATCCACAGAGACAGAATACAGATTAGTGGTTTCCAGGGGTTGAGGGGAGGGGACTAAGGGATAGGGGGGGTTCTTTGGGGGCAGGGTGATAAAAAACTAGATAGATAGAGGGTGGTGGTTGCTCAACATTGAGACCCTATGAATTGCCGATGAATTTCTCACTGTAAAGTGGCTCGTTTATATAATATGTGAGTTTCACAGAAATGGAAAAAAAAAAAAAGACACGCAAAAAAAAAAAAAAAATAGCCTCAGTATTTTGTTGTTTTGTTTTGAGCTGGATCTTGCTAAATTGCCCAGCCAGGCCTCGGGTTCACCATCCTCCTTCCTCAGCCGGCCAAGTTGCTGAGATTACAGTCATGCACCACCTCACCCTGCTCAGCCTCTTCTCACTGGTAAAAAGGAGGCTAATAACACTACTGTATATCTTAGGGGCAGGTGGTAAGGAATAGAAAAATAATGAGCAATGAGGTCGGCCAGCAGCTATTCCATAAATGGTGGTTACTTTTCTCTAATGCTACTTTCTACGGGGGCGAGGGGGCGGGGATCCAGTCTTCCTGATCCTGTGGCTCAAGTTCCTGGGCAAAAAAAGGGAAAAGCACAAAGAACTGTTACTGCGAGGCGGTGCCTAAGGGGCTGTCCCTTCCATGAGGACAGAGGAGTGTCCCTTGCAGTGTAGTGGAGCGGATGGATAGCGCTGAGATCACGCGGCACGCGGAGGGAACCCGTGGGTCCTGTCCCTGCCGGCGACCTGCAAGTTCGGGCACCAGGGGGAGCCATAGGAGTTAGTGCGAGAAATGGGGCAGGAACTGAGGCTTCTACCAGGAACCTGCTCCTCAAATCTGGAACCCAGCCTACTGGTAACCCTGGAGCCCAGTCAACGTGGGAGATGTCGGGGTTCACCCCTCTCCCCACGTTGCTGAGGGGCAGGCGTGGGTCCCTTCAGGTTTCCGCCATTCTCTAGTCTGCATCCTTCTGGAATAGAGGAAGCTGTACCTTCTGCTGGGGTCCTGCCACCCCCAAATACTGCACCAATGGCCATGCTGCCTCTGCCTTCAGGGCCGGGCCACCGGAGTCAGGGCGACTGAGATAAGGCTCAAAGCGGCAGGTGGGTTGAAACTTTTCCCTGCTGAAGCTTCCAGGAGCTGGGGATCTGAGGCATGTCGCGATCCCTCAGTGCCACGTCTGCACGCTCCGCATCACCTCTGCTTCCCTTTAATTGGTCAGTTCTCAGCCGGGCTGGAGTCGGCCTGGAGTCAGATTGTTGCCTGAATCCTTAGTTTCCATCGTCCCTTCTGTTGGGTTAAGGGCAGTGGCAGGGGGCATCCCCAACCCCTAATGCTCCACCAGGGGCAGAGCTGCCAGGACCTCACCATCACCATTTTTGTACCTGAAGGTTCCTCCTTGCCTCCACCCTAGGTCAGACCACCAGAATGTATAAATGGCCCATCTCCAGTCTCTTGGGGACATCCCTATAACCTGCTTTCAATTCCTGCCAGATCTAACTCATTGCCTCCCTTGCTTGACCCCATTCTCTCTGTACACTTTTTATTTAGGGAAAGAAAAATCCAAACGGTCTTACACAGGGAGGTTGTTGCACATGGTGATGGTTTTGTAGCCCTGGCATACAGCTCTTAAGCTTTCTGACACATTCTTTCTGACTTCTAGACTCTCTCTGGTGTACCTGTTGCCTCACTTACCCCAGACAGTGTGTGTTTATATCTATGTTATACTGAAATATTAGGGATCTATGAAGTTATGTTTCTTGCTGATAATGAACACAAGGACACAGAGAATTCTAGGAAATGTCCGCTCTGCCTGACATGTGCCCAGTTTGTCTATTTTCAGCTCTCCTGGTGTTTGAAACAGTCTTGGATGGTGACTGAATCTTGGGGCCCTTTGATTTTGCCCTGCAACCCCCTGCAGGCAGTGTGGTGTTCTGGGTGGAGTCAGGCCTTGGGATTGACTGGGCTGGGTCAAATACAATTTGGTGACTTGTCAGCTCCGTGTCCTTGGAAAAGTTATTTTATTTCTCCTGGCCTCCCTGTCCTTATACATCAAATGGGAGAAGAACGAAGTCACAGAGATAGATACTTGGAGAATTTGCCAGCAAACTTTTGGTGGACATGTAATAGGCATTCAATAAATATTGACTGGGATTATTAGTAAAAGCAAATAGACCCCTTCTTTAAAGAGGGACATAGCTCTTTCCTAAGCACCATTGTCATACTTACATGGCTGTCAAGAAATGATCATTCCTTCAATCAAATACAAATAAATAGATAAATGAAAGGAAGACTAGTAGACTAGAGGAAGGAGAAGGGGAGTAGGGGGAGGATGGGAAGGGAAAGGGAGAGGGAAAGGGGGGGATCATAAAATGAAATCAATTTCCATGCGTGTATGATTTTTGTCTGGATGACCCCAACTACTATGTATAACCATAAAGCTGTAATTAAAAAAATAAAAAAAGATAAGGTGACAGTAAATATGAACTGTTAAAGAACAATGTAATTAGTGACTATCATGAGAGTGGGTTGTCATTTCTCTCTGCCATATTGTGAGCCAGGGAACCCCTCTTCAGAGATGGAGGCCAGCATTGTGTTCTTAATACTTCCCAACTGTCTGCTAAATCAACCTCTTTCCTTTACAAAGAAAAAAAGAAAAGAAAAGAAAAGAAAAAGAAAGAAAGAAAATCATTACCATTCTTCATTTGGAAATGGTAGTGCATGCCTAAATTCTCAGCCGCTTGGGAGGCCGAGGCAGGAAGATCATGAGTTCAAAGCCAGTCTTGGCAACTTAGTGGGGCCCTAGGTAATTTAGTAAGACTATGACTCAAAATAAAAAAATAAATAAAAACGGCTGGGGACGTGTCTCAGTGGTTAAGTGCCTCCGGGTTCAATACCTGGTATAAAAAAAAAAAAGAAGAAGAAAGAAATTATTGTTCCTCAAGACTCCCAGGAGCAGAGGTCAAAGGAGGAATATTACAGGGTGTGGGAGATTTGCACTCGCAGGTCAAAAGTGGTTAAAAGACTCTTTTCTACCTCTGCTAGCTGGTGGTGGAGCTGGGCCCTTTATCCAAGCAGAGTGAGATCCTGCAGAGGGCAGGCTTAGTGTCTGGGCCAGGGTAGCAGAGGCAGAATTATTCTCAAGGGGAACAGATAAAAGGCCTGCAGCCAAGTGTGCCATCAAATCTCCAAATAATAAAGCTGTGAGGGACCTTAGATGAGAACTCATAGCTGAAATATCATGGGGACTGCCAGAGGTCTCACAGCTAGGGAGGGCAGAGCCTGGCACAGGTGGAGGGTGGTGTACTTTTATCAAACGCTGCACATTTATGGTCAAAGGTCTTGTCACATACAAACGGACTGAATCTCTGATACAATCCCCACTGACTAAAATTTCTGTGAAGTGTGAACTTTGTCTATTTTGTTCACTGCTGAATTTCACATGAGTGATTGGCATATGTGATAGAGTGTTAGATATCTGGTCAAGACATGGTGAATGAAAGAACCCTGTGAGGTCTGTGCTACTGTAATCAAGGAAATTCAAGGGGGAGCATGGGAGGAATGGAGGAACTTTGGATAGGGTAAAAGGGAGGAAGGGGAAAGGAGAGGGCATAGGGGTAGGAAATGGTGGAATGGGGTGGACATCATTACCCTAGGTACATGTATGAAGACACCAAGGGTGTGACTCTACTTTATGTACGACTAGAGAAATGAAGAATTGTGCTCCATTTGTGTACTATGAACTGAAATGCATTCTGCTGTCATGTATAACAAATTAGAAGAAATAAATTTAAAAAAGAGAGAGAGGGGGAAAAAAGAAGAGGAAATTCAACAACAAAGGGATTAAGCAACTTGCTCAAGTTCCCCGAGCTGGTCAAGGGCAATCAGGGTTTGCACCCAGGTCCCTGTGAGAGGTTGCCTGTGAGCCTCCGGAGTCCCAGTCTCCTCACTGCCTAGTTTAATATTCCATCTAACCAGGTTCTTTTCTTTTCTGAGATCCACTTATTTGGAATTTCTCCTGTCATGGCTGTCTGTAGATATTTATATAACTTAGATGAATTACCTTTGGACATTTAGCCATACCCACTGTTGGCTTCCCCATTTCATGAAGAATTTTCTGTGGTTGAGTTTAACATTCATTTACTTGAATAAGTCATATTCAAATACAAAGGCAAAATATGACATATAAATATGTCTGATTTATAAGTTTCCAAAGTTTTTTGAGAGGTCAAAGGTGGGATGGCATTTCCAGAGTTGCAGGTACAAGGATTGGCACCCAGTTGGAAGTCCAGAACCTTCCTGATTTGTTCTGCTTGTTTCGCGAGGATGTGAGACACAATAGTGACAGTGTTTGAACATTCTCCTCCTTTCAGGCAGCCTGTAACGAGCCATCTCTTTAGTGACAAATAATGAGGGACAAGCCAAGAAGTGACAGCCATCAGTGAGGCTGGGTCTCAGGAACTCTTCTGTTTTCTTCCTCCACATCCCTCCACTGATTCCCATTTTCACTCACCACAGAGGCTCATCTGTGGTTCTTGAGCTTGAAGGACTTTGTGCATTGTCATTTTCACCCTGGGGGCTGTCAATCACTGGTAGGACTGAAAGCAAGCAAAATATATAAAAATCTAGGAAATTTTATAAAAATGAATGTTAAAGTATGTATACTGACACGTACACACAAGTGCCCTGTCCCACCATCCCGCTTCCCAAGATTCCAAGTCAGTAGACCTGGGTGAAAGCCCCAGTACCTTGTCTTCACGGTGGATTCTTAAGTGCAGCCTTCGATTGACACACAACTGGTCCAGTCTTGCCAGCCTTAACTTGGCATCAAATGAATAAAATAAAATAAAATAAAGGTTTAGCATTACTGTACTCATTTGTGAAGAAATGAGTCCAGAGGCCAATACATTCCCATTCTGACTATCCTGAGATGGAACTTCATTTTTATCCTGATTTTTGAATGTCAGGATCCCCCTGTGACTCTATAGTGGCACCTCCTCCTCCACAGAACAATCTTAATTTAGCTTCTTTAGAGATCAATGGTTCTTCTTTTTTTTTTTTTTCAGAGTAGAAATTAGAAGTTTATTAAAGGACAGCAGAAAAGACTTCTCCTGGAGGAAGAAGGGGACCCAAGAGATGGAATCCCCCAAAATGGTTCTTAGACTCTCTGTAAAAGAATTGTCAGGCAGGGGATATTCCTGCAGAAACACAGGGTGATAAGAAAAACTAACCCAAGGCCTTCACAGAGGCACCTGCATTTCAGATTTAGGTCCTTAAAGGGCAACTGGTAAGAGGAAAAGAAAAAAGAGAAGGAAAACTGTCTCTTTCCCAGGCACTGATTTTCAGAGAGAAAGTAGAGAGACTATCCTTGGGGTTATTTTTGTAAAACCAGGCCTGATCTGGGAGTGGAGAAGAAGAAGAAGAAGAAAAAAAAAAAAAAACTAAAACTGTTGCCATGTGAACTTCTGTAGATTATGAACCTCTGAGCCCCTCCGCCTATACACGGGGTATAAAGTTCTAAAACTTCCTAAACTCAGGGTCCAGAGGGATTAACTGATTACAGCAAGAGCTTTTCCCTCTGGACCCGGTTGCAACCAATAAATAAATAAATCTTTTCCTGTTATTCCCTTGTCTGTCCTCATCTGTCCTACTTCAACCCAAGTACCATATCCTATGTCCTCTGTCTCCTCCAGCTCCCCTGCTTTGACCCCAGGGTGATGGTCACCAGCCAGTCACAGCAGGCTCTTGTAGGGACATTCTTGTCCACTTTCTACCTCAGAGCCTAGAACTTAGGTGGAAAGCAGTTAACTCGACTGTCTTCCGGGCAGGAGGGTAATGGAAAGACTCCTCATCTTCCTCATTCTCACAGCCAACACTGTGTCAGTGGCTCCCACTGCTTCCCTGTATCTCATCTTCACAGTGACCCCCTGAAGTAGGTACTGTTATTATTCCTGGTTGACAGAGGGGGAAATTAGTTCCCCCAACATGAGGCAGCTAAGAAGATGGTCGTGTCTGTCCTTAGAGCAGCGATACACTGTGTTAGTCCCACATAGCTCCCAGATGTTCCCAAATGGAAGATTCCAATTCAGTCTTCATCAAGCTGGATCGTGGAGGGGAGGTCCTGGCACGACAGGTTCCAGGCTAATCACTTATCTCCCCCTTCAATCCCTGCCCACCCATCTCCTTCAGAGGCAAGCCTCTGTTGGTGAAAACAAATATCCCCTTTCAGGGAAATCCTGTCCCTCTGCCCACTCAAGGTGCAGTCTGACCCCAAAGACTCAATATGACAAGTGGAACCATTTGCCATTACATTTCTTAAGGTTTGTGTTGGTCTATTTGGATTGCTTTGGCAGAATACCCTAGACCAGGTAGCTCTTGACCACCAAGCAGGTGTTTCTTGTGTTTCTGGAAACACCCTCAGACACCAGGTTACCAGGTTTCCCTTCCCACTAACAAGACGCAACTAGCCCACCTAGAACCGAAAATGTGCTTATCCTTTTCTCAGACTTGGCTGCCTACCCTCACTTATAGAGCCTGTTTTTTTCAATGGAATTGTGGTTTTCAGGATTTCAGCTTTCGGGATTTCCACACTGGGGATTTTAATCTTTTGGAATTGTGATTTGGGGACTTTAGGGTGGAAGAATGTCGATCTTTGGGGATGTCAACATTGAGGATTATGGCGTCTGGGATGGTGGTTGCAGGGTGCTCCACAGTGGGATAGGCTGCCTTTTAGTCTGTTGATTGCTTCTTGTGTTGTGCATAAGCTTTTCGGTTTGGATGTGTTTCCCTTTGCCTATTTTTGCTTTTGCTGCCTGTGCTTTTGATGTCATATTCAAGAAATCATCGCTTCGACTAAATGTCATAAAGGTTTCCCCTTGATTTCTTTTAGAAGTTTTATAGATTCAGCTCTTGTATTGAAATCTTCAGTCCATTGTAAGTTGATTTCTGTGGATAATATAAGGATCCAATTTCATTCATTTGCATGTGATTTCTGAGCACAATTTTTGAAGAGATTCTCCTTTCGCCATTGTATATTCTTAGCACCTTTGCAGAAAATCAGTTGACCCTATCTATATGACTGAGTTTATTTCTGGGCTTTCAGTTCCATTCCATTCATTGATGTGTCTGTTTTTATGCCACTGTAAGATCTGGAAATCTGAGAGCATGATGCCTCCAATTTTATTCTTTTTCAAGATAACTTTGACTACCTGGCATTATGTTGTGGTTCCATATGAATTTCAGGATTTTTTTTCTACATCTGTAAAAAAATACCATTGGGATTTTGATAGGGATTACATTGAATCTGTACATCATTTTGGGGAGAATGAGCATTTGAACAATAGTCGGTCTTCTAATCTATAAACATGGGATGTCTTTCCATTTATTTATCTTCTTTAATTTCCTTCATTAGTGTAATGGGGCTTTTAATGTAGAGATCTTGGTAAAATTTATTCATAAGTATTTTTTCTTTTGTTGTTGTTATTATAAATGAGATCTTAAAAATTTCCTTTTACCCATTTTGTTGTTAATGTTAATTTTTTGTATGTTGATTTTACATCCTGAACCTTTTTTCCATTTAAAATTTTTTTAAAATTGATTTTTTTAAAAGTAAATAACAGCAGAATGCATTACAATTCTTATTACACATATACAGCACAATTTTCCATATCTCTGGTTGTATATAAAGTATGTTCACACCAATTCATATCTTCCTACATGTACTTTGGATAATGATGTCCATCACATTCCACCATCCTTGCTAACCCCCTGCCCCCTCCCTTCCCCTCCCACCCCTCTGCCCTATCTAGAGTTGGTCTATTCTTCCCATGCTCCCCCTCCCTGCCCCACTATGAATCAGCCTCCTCATATCAGAGAAAACATTCAGCATTTGTTTTTTTGGGATTGGCTAACTTAGTATCTTCTTCAGTGCCATCCATTTGCCTGCATTGCCCTGATTTTATTCTCTTTTATTGCTGAGTAATATTCCATTGTGTATATATGCCACTCATCTACTGAAAGGCATCTAGGTTGGTTCCACACTTAGCTATTCTGAATTGTGCTGGTATAAACATTGATGTGGCTTATCCTGCATCTTTACTGAATTCATTTATTAGTTTTAACAGTTTTTGTTTTACTTTGGGTTTTTGTTTGTTTATTTGTTTGTTTTGTAGAAATGTTAGGCTTTTCTACATGTAAGATTATGCCATATGCATGCAGAGGCAATTTTACTTTTTTTTTACCTTTATTTCTTTTCCTGTTTAATTGCTCTGGGAAGACTTCCAGTACTGTATTGAATAGAAACGATTAGACTCAGCATCCATTGCTTATCTTAGAGGAAAAACTTTCAGTGTTTTACAGCTGACTATGATGTGGGCTTTTCATATATAGCCTTTATTATATTAATGTACATTTATTCTATGACTAGTATGTTGAGTTTTTATCATGAAAGTTGTTGAATTTTCTGAAATGTTTTTTTTCACCTATTGAGATGATCATGTGATTTTTATACCTCACTCCATTAATGTGGTATTTCAAATGAATTGATTTGCATATGTTAAACCATCCTCGCAAGGGACTTGAATAAAGATTTCTTCAAAGAAGACAGGCAATTGGCTTACAAGTATTTTAAGAAACTCTCAATATCACTAATCAAAGGGAAATGCAAATCAAAACCACAATGAAATATCATCTCACACCTGTTAGAAGACTTGTCAAAAACAAAAACAAAAACACAAAAACCCCTAAAAGGTGATAAGTGTGGAGGAGACATTGGAACTCTTGTATTCTGTTGGTGGAAATATAAAATGGTCCAGCCACCATGGGAAACAGTGTGGTGATTCCTCAAAAACTTAAAAGTGCAACTATCACAGAATCCCAAACTTCCAATTCTTATTATAGAAATTCTAAAGAATCAAAATCAGCCTCTTAAAGAGATATTAAAACTCCATTGTTTATGGCAGCATTATTCACGATAGCCAAGACATGGAAGCAACCTAAATGTTAATCAGTGGATGAATGGATAAAGAAAATGTAGTATGTACATACAAGGGAATATTAGTTAGTCTTAACAAAGAAAGAAATTTTTCAATATACAACAACCTGGATGAGCCTGGAGGACCTAATGCTAAGTGAAATTAGCTAGTCAGAGAACAAATATTGCATGCTTCCACTTATATGAGATATCTAAAATAGGCAAACTCATAGAAATGGAAAGTAGAATGGTGACTGCCAGGGCCTGAGGGAGTGGGAAATGGACAGCTGCTCTTTGATGCAGAAACTTGCTGTCATCCAGGATAAAGCTGCTGTACAACATCGTGTTTGCAGTTAGCAACGCTGGCCTGGGCACTGAAAATTTTGTTAAGAGCAAAGACCTCATGTCACATGTTATTACATGATAAAAAAAAAAATACAAGCTTTAAAGTGTTACCTATTTGTATGTTTATATAACTGTGCATGCTTTTTGAATATATACAGATAGGAAATATCAGCAGATCCTTTATTATTATTGGTTACAAAAATAGGGTACTAAAGGAGCAAAATTAGAATTTGGGTCTTGCATGTRAAATGACTCAGTTGTTTTACATCCAGGTAGTACAGTTCTTTTTTTTTTTATTTATTTACTCATTTTTATGTGGTGCTGAGGATTGAACCTGTGCCTCACGTGTGCTAAGCAAGTGCTCTACCACTGAGCTATAGCCCCAGCCCAAGTTCTTTTTTTTAAAAAAACCATTGTGAATGTGAAGTGCTTTTTCACATATTCTTAAGCCATTTTGTTAGCAATTCCCTTGGGTAGTCCTGACCTAATTTTATTTATTCATATTTAAAAATG